CGAACCCCCTTCCCGCCAAAATGGACAGTCTTCCGACGTGTCGTCACATCATATAAACTTGACACGTGTCACGCCATCCCCACGTGGCTCGGTCGAGTAGTAGGTGCGGTTTTTCCCTGCACCCTCCCCCTCACCCGAACCCCCTTCCCGCCAAAAAGGACAGTCTTCCAACCCGGGACGCTGTGCGACTTGTCGTCACATCATGTAAACTCGACACGTGTCACGTCATCCTCACGTTACTAGGTCGGGGGGTAGTAGGTGCTCTTTCCTTGCAGCCTCCCCCTCACCTGAATCTCCTTCCCGCCAAAAAGGACAGTCTTCCGACCCAGGATGCTATAAACTTGACACGTGTCATAGAATTCCTCCCGGGTGGGTGGTCGCCAGACCTTCAGCCTCGTCACCTGCCGAGCGAAAAGCACTCTCCTCTCCCATCCACTCCCCCCCCCACGCTCCTCTCCCATCCACTCCCCCCTTGTCCTCCCCGATCCGGACGACCGGCCTTGCTCCCCACTGAGTCCACCTGTCACGTCAGCGGCGACTGTGACTATGTGACATCTTCGCGCTCCCAGTTGCATCCACCATCGCCAAAGCTCTCTCCACCACCATCGCCAAAGCTCTCTCGACCACCACAACGAATCAAGATCGAGAGTAAACGTTTTTTGGGGAATGAATCGGAAAAAGCAAAAGAGCACGAGCGCATAGCAAGCTAACAAACCGGAAAAAGCAAAAGAGGAGAAGGTCGAAAAGAAATCCGGAGAAACAACAAGAGAGGTTGCGGCTGCTACGGGGTTCCCCGTATGCCTACAATTAGGAGTAGTGGTAGGTAGGTAGTGTGAAGTGAAATTGAGAGAAGAATATAGCTTTAAAAAAATAAAAATAAAAAAAACAAGAGAGAACAGGGTTGAAAAGAAATCCGGAGAATGAACAAGAGAGAAAAGAGCAGAAAAGAAATCGAAGAAACGAAAGAAAACGAGATCGTGAATTGGAAACGAGATCAAGGCAACAAAGAAGAGAGAGTACAGGGGACAACAAATATATGCCGCACAAAGACGCCGCCGCGCTGAGTTGCCTGTGCGACAGTGTGGCAGGCTCGCGACCTGTTGCAGCAAAAAGCGCCTTGTCGCACCCTTAACCATTCCGTTAACCAATCCGCCGTTCAGTAATTCCAATGTGAAAGTAGCACGTCGCATCAGGTACACAGAGGGCGCAGCTCCGAGAACTGATGCATGCAGCATGCAAACAGCGCCTCGTCGCACCCTTAACCATTCCGTTGGCAGGTTTGCGAGCTATTGAAACAAAAAGCGCCTTGTCGCATTCCGTTAACCATTCCGTTAACCATTCCGTTAACCAATCCGTTAAGTAATTCCAATGTGAACGTAGCACGTCGCATCAGGTACACAGAGGGCGCAGGTTCGCGAGCTGATGCATGCAGCAAACTGCGCCTCGTCGCATCCTTAACCATTCCGTCGGCAGGTTCGGGGGCTATTGAAACAAAAAGCGCCTTGTCGCACCCTTAACCATTCCGTTAACCAATCCGTTAAGTATTCCGATGTGACGCGTGGCACGTCGCA